ACTCCAAGATCCCTCTCACAGTTGCTACTATTGAGCAAGGTACCACCTATACTGTACCTGTGCCTTTCGTTTTTCTTGCCCATATGTAGTTTTCTTGCCTAAGTAGTAGTTCACCTCTAGATATATAGAGAGCCATGGAGTTAGTGTTGATGGAAATAGAAACCATTACAAATACGAACAGGTTACAAGCATTCCTTCAACTTTGGGAAAGAGGGTAACATTAAGAAGAGATTTAGGCTGACTCTTGATTCATTGGGTTATAACAGAGAAGAAAAATACACTCGTACATAAGGTTCCAAGGAAAATGCCCACTGTCAGGGTTTTTGTCCCTTAGTTTTAAAAAAGACCATGGGGATATATGGATGCATTGTTAATATTTGTTTTATTTGCAAATAATACAATCAGAGTTATAGGCAAATAGAAAAACTGCTGGCAGTTTTTTGCTGCCTTCTAGGATTATTCAGATAATCAGTTTGGGGTAATGTTTAAGGCATCACATTAGAAACCAGGAGATGGTAAATTCTAGTCCTGCCTTAGGCACCAAGCCAGCTGGGTGACCTTGGACCAGTCACTCCCTCCCAGCTCTAGGACGTTGGCAATGGCAAGACACTTCCGAACTCTTGCTGTGAAATCTGCAGTCACCAAGAGTAAAAAAAATTCGCTGAGTCACAGCGAGAGGCGGACAGAGTTAGTCAGTTTTTTCCAGCCCAAGTTATTTGAATGTGTAATGTACTGATAATCTTAACTATAGTTAGATCTCACCTTAACATGGTGTTGAGTAAGAACAATGTTTCAGCAGCAAACAGAGCCACAAAAGATCAAATCAGGACTAAAGAGATACGATTTGGTTTAGAAAAATTAGAACAGCTTGCTTGGATAAACATGGACAATGTATTCTAATTTCATTGATAATTAGCTGCTATGCCTGTGCCTTGTTTCCATCTCATTCAGAAATGGCAGTGAAAAATCTCAATGCTCCTAGGAATGTATCATAGAAAGTTCTTTCAATGCTCTAACAAGATAAAAATCATTAATTAAGGTCTTATTTTTTTAATACCACAGATCTATACTATCATCACACACAGATATGCCCCAGTGGTGGGATTCAGCCAGTTCGTACCTATTCGGGAGAACCGGTTGGTAACTTTCTAAGCAGTTCGGAGAACNCCCCTTCCCTGGTTGAGTTGTGAGCTGCCCTGAGTCCCCTTCGGGGGGAAAGGGCAGCATATAAATAAAATCAACATTCAACATTCAACATTCATTCAGTTTCCCTGTCTTGGTTTGCTTAGATGATGACTCAGTGCTAGCTATGCTAGGCAGATGTCAGCCTTACATAATTAGCGGGAGGTAAAAATGTTCTTTTGAATCCTTATTTTTATTGCTTTTATTAACGTCAAATCCTTGTTCTTTTGTTTGCATCTGGGCTGGATTTGTATACCAGTTCCTTTGAGGCTACTTAAAAATCCCCAACCTTGCCTGCCAGCTACTCAAAGTTTGCCTGCACTTGTAGTAATGTTAGGGTGGTGGTGATGTAGCAAACATAACTATTCACACTAAAGGAAAAGCATCCCATGTCTTTCAGAACTTCATGCTTACGGGCGATCTGGTAAACAGGTGAGAACTGGAGCCATTTCTTTAAAATGGCTTAATCACTGGGACAAGTTCTTTTTAAAAAATAAATGTTATTAATTGTTATTAATTACATTCCTTAGTGCTTAATAAACATCGTTTATTGGCTAGTTAATTTGCTTAACAATAAAAATGCCATTCTTACCCTCCACCCCCTTTTTTTTCAACTACTGGTAAAATAAGTTCCGAGTTTGATAACATTCTGTGTCTTCTTTCTGTTTAATTTTCAATGTAAGCCTGTTGATTTCTGCACGGTCTAGTATCTTCTCAATTATCTCTTCATCTCGTGGTGTTTCTTCATCTTTCCACTGGGACAAGTTCTTATCCTATCCAGATTCCAGGTGAGAAAGAAATGGAAAGTGAGTTGGTTCCCATTCAGGGACTCCTGCCATTTGGAATGAGATCCTTGCTGAAGTCTATAGGCCCTCACTGGTAGTGTTCTGTAAAGCCTTAAAGATTTGGCTCTGGTTCTGAAGATCTGGATCTCAGGCCTTGGGTTGAGCTGAAGGCCCCCACCCTTGTTGAATTTGTCTGCTGTTTTTCTTTCTGTATACCATGTTTTCCCGAAAATAAGGTCCAACTGAAAAATAAGGCCTACCATGATTTTTCAGGATGCTCGTAATATAAGCCACCCCCCAAATATAAGCCCCAGTTAAGATTGTCATCCAGACAGATGCATTTTGTATCATATTTCCCCCCCCAAAATAAGACCTAACTGGAAAATAAGTCCTAATGAATCTTTTGAAGGAAAAAATAATATAAGACCCTGTTCTGACCCCCCTCGTCTCACACCAACACACACTCCGAGCCAAAGATAAGTTANAAACTCACCGCATGTGCCCACCGGCACCAAGGACCCCAACACAACCCGCAGGAGCAAGAGGGGCGCCCGCTGCAACGCCATCGCCCTCCGACCACGCGCACCTGCGACCGAAGACACCGGAGAACAAGAGTTCCAGATGAGACCAACACTCTCTGCCACCGCCCCGCCTTCGTTCAATAAAAGTTTCCCCTCCATCCAAAGTCCTCAGCAGAAGAAAAAGAAGAAAGAAAACAACGCTTCTTTTGGCACCTCCTCTGCAGCTTTGGAAGAGGGAGACGCCTAGCGGAGAAATTTCCGGACAGAACAATTAATCCGTGAAATGACTTGCCTCCAGAAATTGGGGACACTGGAAGTTTTAAAGAAAAGGTTGGATAACCATTTATCTGAAATGGTGTAGGGTTTCCTGCCTGAGCAGGGGGTTGAACTAGAAGACCTCCAAGGTCCCTTCCAACTCTGCTGTTCTATTCTATTTGCTAAACTATCAAGCTAAACTGGTGCTTGGTAAGAGTTGATGGAATTCACTGGGTTGTGTGTGGCTGGATTCCAAATTGATGACACATCTCTATGGAGATTCTCAATCGTCAGTCAAGGTTATCCCAGTGGTGCTGTTCAAAGGGCAACTGGACTTTCTTGGGTTTTTTCCTTGAAAACATTTTGTTTTTTCATCTAAGAACTGAAGAAGCTTCTTGGATGAGAAGGGAAACGTTTTCAAGGGGGAGGGAAACCAAGGAAGTCCATTTCCCTTTTGGAAAAGCCCCTTTGGGACAGATTGATGACATGTTTAACCCCGCCTTCCAGCACAGCCTATTCATCTCCTGCAAGACAGTCCATAGGGCCCCTTAATAGACCCCGTCAAGGGCTCCTAATCTTTGGAAGAACCACCTCCCCAATTTGGTTCCCCCTCCCATTGCAGCCAACTTCCAGGAAGTTGTTCAAGGCAGCTGTTCTCAGAAGCTCTGGAGATGAACACCTGGGTTGTCTCTCCATCCGTTGCACTTTCTTTGTTCTTCAGGAGCCTCTCTTTGTGGTTTCAGGCTCTGAAGTCAGTGCAGCACCCACAGCTGTGAAATTGTGTTAATGTGTAGGTCGTGGGAAAAGAA